CGCCTTCCTAGAAACATCATGTGGGATCTTAACTAAAGAGTGAATGCTGGACAGAAAGAACCCTGCTGCATGTAAGCAAGTAGTGTGCTATGCAGGGTGGCCAAGGTGGAATCTGGAAGTCACTCCTGAGCTCTGACCTACCGGATCACCACCCTCCCTGGATCCCCATAGCCGGCACACAGCCTCACACTGTGCCACCTGTTTTGGTGGGCTGAGTTGAGTAGCAGACGGACCAGACGCTCTGCCTATCATCACCTACCACTGGCCCTACTACCAAACAGCTACTCTTTTCAGCCTTGTCCTCCCTACCAAAAGCATGTCAGGCAAAGTGCCAGCTCATGAAACTTGGCCTCTTTGAAGTGGGGAGAGTGCCCCTGAAACCGTCACATCACCCTGTGTCTGGTGGTGCTTCTGCTGCCGGAGCTCACCATAGGGTTCCTGTCCTTTCTTCTGAAATTTGTCAAAGTAAATTCAGTTTCAAACTGGATTTTGTTAACAGTTGGTCTCTGAAGAATCTTTGTAGTGGGAGGGAGGGGGTGCTCACACTGGTGGAGGGAGATATGTGCCCTTGGAAATTGGATTCTCTCTTTGGAAAACTGCTGACACAGGCTAATGAGCAGAGAACTGAATGACCCTACTGTTTCTACCTGCTGACAGACTCAGCCTTGGGACAGGGCTGAAATTAGCTCTCACCGCATGGCACACACACGGCTTCCTCTTTTTATTTTTTTCTTTTATACAAATAGGGGAGAATTTTGTCTGTCAAATAAAATAGCTTTGTAGTTCAGAGCCACAGTAAGCAACAACCCTGCCTCCCAACTTGGGAAGCACGCTAGTACTGATCTAAATTAATAACTAGAGAATCGGGTAATCTCCCTGGCGATGACTGGTTTTGATACCCTTTCATAATTGGTGTTTTTTGGGAAATGCTAATGGACAAACCCATCCAAGCTCAGGAAATGTACTGATGTAAAGAGACCCAGAGGTGTGACTAGCCTGGTGGCCAGGTGGCCTGGACCTTTTGGTGTAGCCTCGTGTTGCCCTACATTTCTGCTGCCGTACGCTTTACCATTTGTGTGCAAGTGAGGAGGCTTTGGAACGTTACAGTTCTGAACAGATGAGGCTGTGCCGTTCAGTTCATTTGTCTAATGCTCTTATCTGTTGAAAAAGGAGGATTCCTCCAAGGAGGAGCTGTTGCAATCTTACTGTCTTCAGATCGGCCCTGCCTCAGCAACACAGCAGGCCGAGTGGGGGCCCCAGAGAAACACACTCCGGCCAGCCGGTTGTGGTGAGTTTCAGAATAAAAGATCTCAGCCTGAGCGCACCGTTTTACCTCCCATCCCATACAGTGAGCATTGTCAACCACGCCACAGCTCTCTTCTAAATTTAGGCGTCTTTTTTCTTTTTCTTTTTTTTTTTTTTGTTTCCAGGCAAAGATTACTATACAAACATTTTAAGAGAAAAACTTTGCCCAAAGTAATTTTTTTCCTCCGACTTCTCTTTGGCTTCCTGCAATGTTTATATGACTCATTCTCTTCCAAGAAATTTTAAAGAAAAGAGATGCAGGCTGTGTGATAGTGCACAAAGAGTGCTCTGTAAATTCTGCGGCTTCTCTGCCTCCAGCCCCGTTGGTTTTTTATAGGGAGTGAGCAGAAAGTCTCTGCCGTCTTCATTGGCATGTGCTCTGCCTCATCAGGTTTAGTTGTTCCAGTGAAGAAATATCCCCCTTGTCTTTGGGCGTGGCCCCTAGCAGCTTCCCTTCTCTGTCAGCCCCTCCGCAGCGGCCAGCACGGAAGCCCTTCCTGGGATGCTGGGGCCATGCTGTCCCCCAAAGGCACACGGCTAAGGTTTCTGAATTAGAGAACGGGGTAGCCTTTTATCATCTGTGAAAGCAGAGGCACTGGCTATTTCCTGCCTCTCTCCCAAATTTGCTCCCAATTGCAGGAGGCTTTATCATACGTTTTAACTGAGCTAGCTACACATGTATTCCCAGTCTGGCCCCAGAGTGCACTCCGCAGGGCGCTCAGCGAAGCAGTAAGTCAGAGTCGCTTCAGCAGCCTGTTCAAATAAACAGGGATAATAGTTGAGTCCTTCCTTCTCCCAACTAATCAGTACACGAAAGGAAACATCTGCCTGGGCCTAATCGTTATTTTATGGGTTATGCTTTTCTCCTCCCGCCTCCTGCCCGCAACTCTGGGGCTCGGTTATTTGAGTTATGGGGAAAGCAACAAGGTAGATCAACGGGAGCTTGTGCCTGTGGCTCTGCCATTTAAAAGTAAGGTGGTGGTAAGTGTGGATGGGAGGCTGGCCTGGAGGTGGGAGGGCAGGGCGGTGGGAAGTGATACTCTTGGTCTCTTCCTGACCGTGTTGCTGACTCTGGGGCTGGTGTTGGGTCATTTCACCTCACTTCACCTCCGTGTGCCTCTGCTGCTTCAGTGGAGCCCAGTTTTCCTCACACTGGGAAGCGGGGAGGGCTGGTATGTGAGATCTTAGATGAACGGCAGTGGCTTCATACAGTGGTCAAGATCATTGGAGGAGAGACATTTGGGAAAGGTAAATTTGAGATTGACAGGGTGCCTTTGAAGCCATCCGTTTTGTGGGGCATCTCAGCGTCTGAGGAGAACCTGCTTATTATCTTCTACTATATGGTGTGAAACCACCACAGCTGTACACTGCAGGGAGTGGTGTTTGAGTCTAATACGGACCTGAGAAGCCAGGCAAAAGATCCTGTAGAACCATAGGATGTAGAGGTTAAGAAAAACCTTAGGAATGTTTTAGCTGAAGACTTCCATGTTACGGAACTAAAAACAGAGGCCCAGAATGACCAGCCAGCTTATCCAAAGTTATCTACTTGGTGATGGAGGAGCTGGGAATAGAAGAACAATCTTCTGATTGCTAATTCAGGGCTCTTTCCACCCCTCTCCCCACTGCCTACTTATGACAAAAGTCACACATATGCCGTAACAGAAAAATGGGCAGAGAACACCTTAACAGAAAAATAGCAAAACACAAAAGAAAAATTAACATGTGAAAAAAAAAGAAGTTCTGGTTCACTAGAATCAAAGGACTGCAAATTACAGCAATAAGATACCGTATCAAATTGTCAAGATAAAAAAGGGAAACAAGCATTCTTATATTGCTGCTGGTGGTGTTTTAAATTGGTACAGTTTTCTCAAGGGCAATTTAATGGTATAAATAAGTAGTCTTTAATCTAGTAGTTGTTCCAGGGAATAAATGTCCCCCTTGTCTTTGGGAGGGGCCCCTAGCAGCTTCTCTTCTCTGTCAGCCTCTCTGCAGCAGCCAGCACAGAAGCTCTTCCTGGGAAGCCCTTCCTGGGACACTGGGGCTGAGCTCTCCCCCAAAGGCACACAATTCAGGTTTCGGAATTAGAGAACAAATGTTACTTCTAGGAGAAAATAATGAAAGGTGTGTGCATAGATTATGTACAAAGTAATTTAATGCAGCAGTGTTTTTTATTACAAAAAATCTGAAGCAAAGTAAATGTCCAAGAACAGGAGCTACATCAATATAATGCATTATAATGTTATAGAAGAACAATACGTCAGGAAATGTTCAGAGCATATTAAGTGGAAAAGTTAAAAAACAGTATATGTGTGTGTCTATAAGGCAATTCCAGTTTTGTAAAAATAACAATGAGAGAGAGAAGATTAGAAGAATATACATCAGAGTCTCAAGTGGTGATTTTTTTAGTGGTGGGAATAAGAGTTACTTCTGTTTTCTTTTTTGAGACTTTCTGCAGTTTCCTTATTTATTATAATAAATGTAGACGGTGAAACCTGTGAGAGCTGGAACTCATTGGGGACTGCCTTGTTTTTCCATGTCTCGCAAGTTTTCTGCCTTTGACAGGGTGCTGTCACCACTTTTCTATTGCCCTCTATTTAGTGGAAAATATTTTCATTTCCCTTCTCTGACAGCTTTCCCCCTTACATATGTTTCAGCTCTCACAGGTTTTACTGTATTACTTTTGTTATCAGAAAAAATATTTTTTAAAGTCATGCATCTTGAAAAAGCAAAATCTTAATGAGTATGTTTCTGACATGTAAGGCGTCTTGCTGTTTTCGTGCCTGAGTGCTGAGCTATGCCTGGCAGTCCTATACCTTCTATTAGAAGGTATCTGAATTGTTGGTATCTGAATTCTTAGTAGGGAAGAATTAGCAGGAGCTGGCAGAGGATGAATCAAAGGCTTCCCCTCTCAGTGACCCAGTAATGCCAATCAGTGTTATCCCCTGCCTTCTCGGGCTTGGCGTAAAACACTCTGTACAGAAGGCGTGACTCTTTATTTCCTTTCTGCTTCCTCACTCTCTAAATGTACTGTTGTCTCTGTGTAGTTAGATGCCAGTCCTGGGTGGCAGCAGCTAAGAATCTGAGAGTCACCACTGCTCAGGATTAACCAACTGGCGATGCCTTAATGTATGTTATCAGAACTGAGTAACATTAGCTAGTCTAGCAACTGTCATTATTTAGATTCCACTGTCCTGTGAGTTTGGGGGAGAATAAAGCAAATAAGAGGTATAGTTCCTTCCTGCCTGGAGTTTCCTATTCTGTTAGGTATTTGAAGTCCTTGGATGTTTATATCTGTTTTCCTTCTTCATCCTATTTCACATCTTACCTCCCTCCCCAATCCTCTGGAATGCTTGACTTCATGTATCTGAGAAAACTTGTCCCTCCTAACAACAGTTGCTAGGTAGGATGTGGCTTTCAGGCCTGCTCTCTGGGGACCGTTTGAAAAACCAAAGGCTGCAATCCATTCCCCGTCCACGCAATTGCCTTTGCTAAGCTATAGAAGGGGCACATTTCATTTTATTAAAACTCTGAGTAATCTGACCATAATTGGGTCTGATCTGAGTGGTTATCTCATTTGCTAGGTTAAATAATGGGCCTTAATTGAGTCTGTGTTATTTGTGAAGCCAGTACTGTGCTTCCCTTTCTTGCCCCCTCCTTCTGTTTCCCAATTAACCTTCATTCCTCTTTTTTTGCAGAGTAAAGAAGTCGGCCAGCAGCTCCAAGATGATTTGATGAAGGTCCTGAACGAGCTCTACTCGGTAAATCAGATGGGCTGCTGGGCTCTTTAACAAGCAGAGAGAAGCAGCATTTGGCAGCTTGTGGCCATAGGCACGTCAGCAACAGAACTGAGCTGAGGCTGAGGGCTGTGCATGGTCCCCACTGTGGGTGACCCCACCCGTCTCTTTTTTTCACACTCTCGTTTTCAAACTCAAATGAGCCAAAACATACTTTCCCAAAAATAAGATCCCTCCTCAGCTGTGAACACTCACTCTGGCTTCATCTGGGGCATAACCACTAGAGGCGAGCCAAGGCCCAGATCACCCACACAGCTGACCCCATTAGCAGTGAACCAGAGGCCCTGAATCTAATGGCAAGGTGCATAGCCGGCACTGCACCATTATTAACACATGCCTGTTGGTAGAGGTTTATTGTTCAAGGTTTTGCATCATATCTTGGATTGATATGCCAATTTGAGACTAGAGCAGTGCTCTAGAGGGAAGCACAGAGTCCCAAATGCCTTCAATATCAAGGGCCAGTTCAGGCAAAAAGAGCTTTGCACCAGCTCCCTGGGGTTTTATAAAGGCCAGACCTCAGTGAGGAGGCAGGCTGCCTGCTGGCTTGGAGGAGAGAACAGAGGGTGTTTTGAATTGCCTAGTGCTTCAGGCACACGATGCCTGGGGCTGCTGCTTGTTTCTTCATATCCTGGGAGGTGGTGGTGGTGGTGTTTCCCTCAGCCATGTTTCGTTAATTACAATTAAAACACACTCACACTCTCACCCAGACACGCCAAGGAAATGCCTGCTGTCGGGCCCCTCCTCCAGCTGGGCTCTGCCAGACCTTTGTGTCATTCTCCAGGATTGTCGCATCCTGTTTTGGAGATGAAATTGCTTTCCTGTGTTGACTTGCTTATTTGCTGCATTTTTTTTTTTTTTAATTCGCAGAAAGAACAGGCAGTGGTGACATGCATCATAGGCATTTGGAATCAAAGAATTCCATGTTCTTGATCCAAACACCTAGGTGTGGCCCTTTTGTCATGGCAGCTGTTGATCAAGTAAATATGGCCGTGTGGTCATTTGACTTGTCTCCAGTGATGCTCAGATTGTTTCGAATTTCCACTCTGTGGACTCTTCTGCTCTGGAGCCAAGTAGATAGATGATGCCCTTTGCTTCAGCTCCCACGTTTTCATTTCTCTCGACCAAAGTTAAGACTTTTTAAAAATAGAAACATGTTGATGTGAACCATTTTCAGACTGGTTGAGTTTCCTGAACCCTTGACTTTTTCATGCTTGACTTCTGCTTTTTAATCTTAGAGCATCTTGTAGGCACCAAGAAGAACTATTGCTCCTTTCACCTGGCAAAGATTTCACTAAGATAGAAAATGACATGTGTTGTACTGTATGAATCCTTTTATTTTCCGTTAGACGTCTTGGGTCTCCACTATTTGCATCTGTTTCTGGGTAGGAGTAATTTGGATAACAAGCAACCCCAAACCAGCTCAAATCCAGCATGCCACTTCTGCAGTGGACTTCAGGCAGTGAAGGAAGAATAGTATCTAGAGATCTGTTGGCTTTTACCCAGAGTCCTAGATCTCTTAATATGCTGTCATTAAAAAAAAAGTGAAAGGGTATAATTTGTGTCGGAGTGAGGAAAAAAACTCTGGAACTTCCTGCTCTGGCCTGAGGAGGGCCTGGCTGGCACCTAGGCCTGCAGTCTTCAGGCCGTCAGGTGCTGGCCAGCTGCTTTCCTGGCCACTGTGAGTCCACAGCCAGTGCACAGCACAGATCTTCCCACTTGTATTCACACTGAGAATTGGCTGGGCATGGCGTCTTCTGCCATGAGGTAAATTGGTTGCAAACTTTTATAATCTGTCCAAGACTAAAATAAAAAATTGGTATTTTCCTCTAGTAGCCAATGGAAACAAGAAAAAAGTAGAGAATACTGGCAAGTTTCAGAGACGGCAGAACAGTGATGCAATGGTTCTCAAGTAAGGTGATTTTGCCCCCCACAGGACATTTGGCAGTGTCTGGAGATGTTTTTAGTTGTCACAACTTGGGGGAGTGTTGGGTTCTGGCATCTAGTAGGCGGAGGCCAGGGATGCTGCTAAAATCTTACAGTGCACAGGACAGCCTTTCCCACCCCCACAACAAAGAATTATCAAGCCCAAAATAGTAGTGTCAAGACTGAGAAACTCTGGGCTAATGACTAGAGGCTCCTAAATTAAGCAACCTTAGATTGTACCCTGTTTTGATCACTAGCTGTATGATTTAGGGGGATATCCCTAACCTCTAGGATGCTGGTGTCTCTAATACTCCATGTACTGATGTATCTATACCCTGAAGGTTGGGATAGTTGGGGGAGTCATACTTCTAGAAATATCAGACTATAGTTAAGAGTCAAATGAGTTTGCAGACTCTACAGGCCATTAGAAAGTTCAGAGAATAGAGTTCTAAGTTGTATCTTCTGAAGGGCAAGGTAAATTCAGGACTGGTCTCAGTAAGGCACCATGGGATTAGGGTGACTAACTGTCCCAGTTCACCAGAACTGAGGAGTTACCCAGGACACAAGACTTTCAGGGCTGAAACTGGGAAGGTCCTAGGTAAAGCATGATTCATCACCCTAGATGGGTAGTGGTTTCATCAGGTAGGAACTTGGACCTCTATATACTATCTTTGGAAAATTACTTGGTGTGTACACTTCCTCTCAGAGGAGTTAGAAGAGAGCCTCAGGAAGTCTAGGAAGGGATGCTCTGCCTCTCGTTTCAGTGACCCTGTGGGCAACAGAAGTTATTTGTGGGCACTGGAAAAAGGAAACCAAGGATATAAGAAACCCCACCATATTTTTCAGTGCTCTGCTTACCTCGCAGCTACCCTTAGTGCCCATGAATATTTCTTTTTGGGAGACTGATTACCCAAGGGCTGGTCATTTAAGTACTTTTGAACCTTGATAATCCAAGAGGCAGGGCCCAGGTGTTACTAAACAGGCCTTTGGGAGGAGGCCCAGACTCCCACCCTAAGTGGCCAGCTGCCCTGCTGCACCTTCCTATTTTCTGCCTGAAGGGCCTTTCATTTCCCTGACTTGGCATTCTGTGCCAGGAGCCACTTCCCTCAGCTGCCATTCAGAGAGCAACCCTAGTGAGCATTCTTCCCCACATGTTGCACCCCCCCACCCCCTCCCCAGTAACGAGCTGGCTGGTTTGTAGGCCATGGCATAAGTGGTTTTCATTTTCTGACTGATGCTCCAGGAATGCCTTTGAAGTTGGAGCACATTGCCTCCCAGAGAGCTCTGGAATTCTCTGCCTCAGTTGTACTCAGAGGCTGTACCTGGAATAGCCCAGCAACCTCCCACAAGAAGGAGAACGTGTAGGGGAACTGAAGCCACATGGACTGGCTGAGTATAACGAGTCCAGGAAGCTCTAGAATTGAGAAAGAAGAGATGTTGAGACAGTCTAGGGCTGTTTTTGCCCCTGGAGGTTTTATGCTTTTGTAGATAGAGAGAGAGAAAGAGAGTGAGCTGCTATCAAGTTGACTGTGATCCATGGCAGCCTTATGTACAACAGAACACCAAACATGATGTCCTCCTCCAGTCATTGATCCCTCCTGATGACATGTCGAAAGCAAGTGAGTTGGGCAATGTTCTGTCATGATTCATAGGATTTTCATCAGCTTATTTTCAGAAATAGATCACCAGACCTTTCTTCCTAGTTTGTCTTAGTCTGGAAGCTCCACTGAAACATGACCCTGCTGATATTTTAAATACCAGTGGCATAGCTTCCAAGATCACAGCAATACACAAGCCACCACAGTACAACAAAATGCAGTGGTACGTTTTTTCACTCGTCCTGAATATGTGTCTCCTGACTTAGTGCAGCAGCTGTCTGCTTGAGGAGCCACTTCAGACTGGTATTTTGCACCTGTTTCCTTGAAACAGTGACAATTTTTAGTCCCCCAACTTTGCTTGCCTGTTTGTCCCTGATGCAAGGCATTAGGGATACAAAGACAAATAAGAGATGTCCCTGAACTCCAGGCATTTAGTTTTAATAGGGAGAGACAGAAGAGTAAAGTACCAAGGAAAATATGAGGTGATAAGAACTCTTTTTATGTGTGCACAGAGGTTTGCTACTGAATTCGGGTTCCTTAAAGTGACTCTTGAATTGAGTCTTAATTATCAAGGGCTCTTTTTTTTCTCTTGAGTGTTCCTTTTTTGTAACATTCTGCTCTTGTTTCCTGATGCAGTAGCTTTTCATTTCTCGTGTATCACTTTGGGGATATTATTGATGGAATGTTTTAAAAGTTTTCTTCTCTCTGTTTCCTCTAAGTTGCTTGTTTTGGTCTTGATCTTTAATATTAGATATTTTCCTCAAATGTCTAGTAATCCTTAGCTTAGCTATCTGCTCATATTTTAAAGTGAGGCACTAAAAAGCTGATCAGAAGCTGTGTTAACTGTGGCCTTCACTGTAGGGTGAGCTGGCTGGGCCTTGTCCTTGGGGAAGGCCAGATATCAGTACTTCTAGGGCTTGGATGATCTGATTCCCCAGAGAAGGCTCTTATGATCTCGTGCCTATGCCTGGGAGCTGAGTTGAGAAAAGGGCTGGGCCATCTCAATGTTTAGTATATAATTTTCAGTTGATCCTCCTGTCTTAAGTTCAGTGCTAGCCTGGTGCCCCCAGTCCACAGACTCTCTCTATGAGAATAAACCTCAAGTCTTCTGTTATAGTGGGAGAGGGGACCTGGGGGGGTTCTAACTGTTTTTAAATAGACTTTCAATAATTTCTCTGTTTTTAGTTCCACCTTCATGCCACTGACACCAGTTCCTCTTAGGGCTTCTGTGATGTGACTCTGGGTGCTTCTTGGCCGTCCCGACTTTTGGTTAAGGATTCAGTAAGTAAGTTACTACTTGCCTACCAGCCATTCAGCTTCCGCATCCATTCTTTTTGTTCTCCTCAGTTTACCTTAAGAATTAATAATAAAAATGCTTTTGTATTATTTTAGTGGCTTGAGGAGACAGCAGAGCTAAATACATGAACTCAGAATTTAGTTTTTCAAAGTAAAGTGATTGGTCTTTGCAGAACTGAGAATTTAGACTTCTGCGTTCTTTCTCTAGTTTTATTTGCCTCACTATATATATATATTTCTCTGTGCCCTATCTTGACTTCCCTATTTGCCCAATTGTTTTGGCATTACTTATTCAAGCTTCAGCCTCTGAGTACCTCAGTTTTCCCTTGAGTTAGCGACCTAGTAATTCTCCCGTATTTCCACAGAGGAGAGATTCGATGTTATTAAGTCGTTTGGGTAACCACACTGATTGTGAAACCACCACTGTGTGCATGACACATTTCCCAGCTGTGGAGGAGAGCACACATGAAAAGAAGAAGTGGGGCTTGCCCTCGAGAATTTATAGTGTTTTACTTTCTTTTAGCAAGAGAGTGCTGTAAGTTCTCTAGGAGAACAGAGCAATATCAATTTTTTATTTTTATGACTATTTGTTGTCTTGTTGGCACTGTTTCTTTGAGCTTTTGTTTTTGGTCTCTCATGTTCATTCATAGTGTTTCCTCTTTATTTATCATGTACCTTCATTAAATAGAAAATCACTTTCTTAACAGTCATTCACTTTCATAACTGTTCTCTCAAACGTTTGACTCTCTTGGTCAGGTGGTTTCTATCAGGTAAAAAGAGAGAAGAGAACCCCTCGTCTGCCCTTCTTCCGCCAGAATAACAGATGCCTCTTTGCCACTTCTTAGTCAGTCTGGAGATCTGGAGGATCATGTGAATTACTCAGAAAAGCTTTTCAGTGCCAGCAGTTGTTAAATATCACTTCTCCTATGAGGAGAGTAGATCTTTGCTTATGGGGAATGCCATCAGGTTCACAATCAGGTGAAGCTGATTTGAAACATTCTGCACCCAAAATGGGGCATAATTTAGACTCTAATGTGCTTTAATTTTTGTCAGTATCCCAGTATTCTTGATTCCTTCTCATACCTCCAGGTTATCCTAAAGGATTAGAGTCCCTGTAACTCAAATTTTTTCAGCCTCAGCACTATTGACATTTTGGGCTGGTTAATTCTTTGTTGTGAGGGACTGCCCTGTGCGTAGGATATTTAACAGCATCCCTGCCTCTACCCGCTAGCTGCCAGCAGCAAATCCCTAGTTGTGACAACCAGAAATGCCTCCAGACATTGCCAGATGTTCCCTGGGGGCCAAATCGCCCTCAGTGGAGAACCACTACTCTAACTCAAATCTATGAGTGAGTACTTTCTCTTTTCAGGGCCCTCTCACTGGACTTAGATCCCCAGACTGCTTCAGACCCTTAGCCAAAGAACATTTATGTTTTCAGCTTCTGAGCGCCTGTACTCTTGTCATTAGTAGATCATTGGCTGTTATGAATCAGTCAGTGGCAGGCCCTTAATGAGTTACTAAGGGAAACTAAGATGTTTTCCTAATCTTTGAGGTAGGCTTAAATTACTAGGTACATCCCTTAGATACCAATATGAACAAGACAACTCTGGTTGGATAGACCCTACACAGTTTTTATATGTTTAATTGTCATAACCTTTCCTCCCAACTAATCCAGCCCCAGTCCTATGCAGAGGCGAGACGCTGTTGCTTAGTGGGCTGAGAGTGTGGACTTGGAGTCTGACAGACCTGGATTTGAATCTTGGTTTTGTCATTTACTAGCTGTGTAACATTGGGTGAGACAATCTCTTTGAACCTCAGTTTCCTCATCTTTAGAAGTAGAAATAGTAACATTTCATACAGTTGCTGTAGGATTAAATGAGGTGACATTCATAAAGCAGTTGGCACACGCCATGTACTGACTAAGTGGTAGAGATTATTATTATATCACACGCTTGCTCTCCTCTTGTTCAGACCCCCCCTACGCACACACATACCTATACCCCAATTCCTGCACTCTGTAATTCTCCCTCTCAGAGAAATCTCATGACATCAGAATTTCAGCACTCTTGAACTTCAGATTGCTTGGTTTGTTATCAAGCTTTTTTAATTTCCTCACAGAAGCTAGAGGCTCTGTGTGTGGAAACAGAGTTCAGTAGGGAGGAACGGTCATCACATGGCTGGAGCAGTTTGGGAAGATTAGAAACCAGCACGAGTTCCTGGTTTCTCAGCCTCATTAACGAGAAGAGCTGGACTCCGGGACAGTTGCTTTGATGGAATATTAGAAAATCGCACCCCTCTTCTTTTATACTGGAGCCCTGGTGGTGCAGTGGTTAAGAGCTATAGCTGCTAACCAGAAGGTTGGCCGTTCAAATCCACCAGCCACTCCTTGGAAACCCTGGGGGGCAGTTCTACTCTGTCCTATAGGGTCGCTGTGAGTCGGAATCCACTCTACGGCAACGGGTTTGTTTTTGTTTTTGTTTTTTTTCTTTGTACTACATTCTTCCTGTGGTAACTCTGGTTGCACTTGATGTGGATTTTATTCCTTCCCAGGCTCTTATCTGAATTATTGTGCAGGTTTACAACGTTTGTAGGGTTGTTGTCTAGATCACAGGATTGCTGCCACGATAAACGGAGAAGCTGCACTGTGGCACTTGGCACAAGGCTGGGAGTACGCTGAGCGCCCAGTAAATGGCAGCTGCCATTGCTGTTGCTGCTGTCCTAGTTAAGAGAGGGTGTTTGATCTGATCAGCACAGGCCAGATGGCTCCCTGGATGCCAGACCAATATAAAGAACGTTTGAAGCCTTTTCCTTTCCCCCATTTTCTAAAGGTACAAAACCTACAGGCTACTGCACGGTGCTGCCCTCTGTGGGGTTCCTAACTAGGCCCTTGTGGCCTGAGAGTGGTGTTGTTTCCTGTTCACTCAGTACTGTGAAGCAAGTAAGCAATAGAAAGCACCTGGCCAATGAAAAAGAGTAATGCTTACAAGTGATAATAAATAGAAATAAATGATACATGGTGGACATGAAGTCCTTTTAATAATACAGCATGTTGGCTCTGTTCAAATACTGCTTCCCTGTGCCTTGGAGTAGTCTTTAATATATAAGGTTTACTGAACCAACCACTTTTGAATTTTTCAGAAGGGTACCAGGATATTGCTTCGTCGGGGAGAGGTCCAGCTTAGTCTGTTAGTCTGTAAAGCAGAGAATTGACCCCATTGGCTTGACCTCTGGGGGTGGGGGCGGGGGCTGTCTTGCAGGTCATGAAGACATATCACATGTACAATGCCGACAGCATCAGTGCTCAGAGCAAGCTCAAGGAGGCTGAGAAGCAGGAGGAGAAGCAAATTGGCAAATCGGTAAAGCAGGAGGAACGGCAGACCCCACGCTCCCCTGACTCCTCGTCCAATGTTCGCATTGAGGAAAAGCATGTCCGGAGGAGCTCAGTGAAGAAGATTGAGAAGATGAAGGAGAAGGTGGGTATGCTCTGGGGGCGGGACCGATAGAAATTTCCTAGTAGGCACCCTGGAGAACAGGAAGGGAGCTTTGTGTTCCTTTACTGCCTAATGACCAAAAGTGAGTCCTTACTATCTACCCGGGAAGAAATCCTAGTTATTAGAAGAACTGAGGCATGTGGGCTCCAAGTTTTTAACCTCTAATAGATAAACAAGAACCAGCAGTCATCTTTCCCAGTCCATTTTACAAACAGAGCTAAATCCTATTGCCTGGGGGACTGTAGATGTAGAGTTTGATGTTAGATGTCAGGTGTTCAGGGGCAGGGCTAGGGGCACCTCTTTCAGGTGGCAGTACCAGGATGGAGCATGGCATTTTCAGATAGAACCAAAGTGGGGCATGGATCTGACATGGGGTGCCTCATTAACCTTTCCTGGATTGATCTACATTATGCCCTTGAATCTCATTAAACAGAATTAGAACTCAATTTAAGTCAGATGCGCATTGGGAGTAGCAGCATAATTGTGGTTCTTGAATGTACTGTACTTTCGTCTTTCAGAGAACAATTTCCCCTTTTAGAAAAAAAAAGTAAAATTGAACTTCTGTTCCCTTTTCAGCGCCAAGCCAAGTACACGGAGAATAAGCTGAAGGCCATTAAAGCCCGAAACGAGTACTTACTGGCTCTGGAGGCCACCAACGCGTCTGTCTTCAAGTACTACATCCACGACCTGTCTGACCTGATTGATGTAAGGGCTTCAAGCCAGGGGTCCAAGGCTACCTCTTTCCCAGTGCTGGAACCCTGGCCAGCTGTTCCCCAGTTCTGTTGCTCAGGGATCTTGGGGTATTTTGAGAACAATTATGAAGATAGTAGCCACCATCCATCAAGGGATTACCATGTGCCAGGTACCAGGCGAAACACTTCACACGTTACCTCATTGAAGTCTCACCACTGCTCTGGGAGGAAGGCTGATAGATCTCCATTTTCGCAGACGCAATTCAGAAAGTTTAGTTAACTGACGCAGAGTCAGCTAATAGTGACAGAGATAAGATTTGCACCTAGATCTGATTACCAGATGCATGCTCATAACCATTGTGCCCTTCCACCTTTCAGGAAACACTCCCTTAGGTCAGCTACTTGTCCTCTACAGAAGTTAGTGGCAAGAGCTAAAAAGTTAGGGTGCTATAATTTACATTTCTATAGCACTGAATATTTCTCAGTATCACCTCATTTGATTGTCACATCACCCTTATGGATAAATATTACTATCTCCATTTCGTAGTTACGGAATCTGGGCATCCAGAGGGTTATACCACACATTAAGATCCTGATCAGGAGGGTTTCTAGATGCCCCTGACATCTGGCCTATTCTTTCTGATATGGGGTGCAGAGGTGATTGGGAGAAGCATGTTAGTAGGTACGTGTTTTGCGTGGGGCAACCACAAGGGATTGCCCCTGGGTGGTGCAGATGGTTAAGCGCTTGACTATTAGCCAAAAGGTTGGTGGTTCAAACCCACTCATAGATGTCTCAGAAGAAAGTCTGGTGATCTACTTGCGAAAAATCAGCCATTAAAAACCCTGTGGAGCACTGTTCTACTCTGCACAGGTGGGGTCACCATGAGTCAGAATCGACTCGACGGCAGCTAGCCACAACAAGCCACAGGGGTAAACTTCTTGTCTTTGGCCAGCCCTGGCCTCTCTTCTTCTGCCACTTCCCACAAGCCCAATAGTTGAGTCTTACGAACCCTTTCATCTGTAGGCTCCAATATGATCCAGTTTCTAAAGCAGTCCTGACTGAAGCTCCATAAGTACACCTTTTCTCACCTCCCACTCCAGCCATCCAAGTAAGGGCCCTGGAGCCAGCTGACTTAGCATCAGCAGCCCAGTCTCCAGGGCGTTAGGAGAGGCCTGGCCAGTCCTGTCTCTGAGGTCTGGCATTTGCCTCAAGCTCTCAGCGGACAGACCTTTCAAGCTTGTCTGCCTTGGTTTCTCCTCAAGCAAACCTGCCATACCTTCACATCAAGTGGGCTTCTGAGTTCTGGGCTAAGAGTCACTCTTATATAACCAGCTGGGTCATCCGGGGGTCACCTGGGGTTGTCACTTAACTATTCTAAACCTCTGCCTTTTCCTGCTCCACCTCTCCCAGTAAACTGAAGAATTGGTACTTCAGTCTGGTCTCTTATCAGAGTTGCTTGAGGAGCGGGAGCTTTTCTAAAATACAGAAACATCTCTCTCCACACAGGGGTTTTTGATTCAGTAGGTCTCAGCCTCTTAATGCCCTGGGTGTCACTGTCTCCCCAGATGTCACTGTCTCCCTGGATGTCACTGTCTTCCCGGGTGTCACTGTCTCCCTGGGTATCACTGTCTCCCCGGGTGTCACTGTCATCCTGGGTAAATGGAGCCCTGACTCCTGTTCAGGCGCCTCTTTGTTATCTCTGCTTGTTGATGCCAATCTGAACACTGTCCTTCAATGGAGGTCAAAGCCCTAAACAAGATCCTTTCTGCCTCCTCGGGAGCAGCTCCTCACTGTTGTGAGCGAGGCGTGTTCTCAGCACCGGGAAGAGAATCTGTTCTTTCTTATGCTCAATTTCTGCAATTCATCTCGCCTCCAGACTGTCCAGTCTGCCACACCTCTTCTACTGGCTTGTCGCTCCAGAGCCACTCACCTACCCCTTTCACCAGAATGCTGGCCTCAGGAAAAGAAAGGGGCTGCTGCTGTCCCAGCCACAACCTTGCAACCCACAGACCCTCTATCCAATGTGAGCAAAAAAAACCAGGTGCCTTCGAGTGGACTCCAACTCATGGTGACACCATGTGTGTCAGAGAACTGCGCGCCATAGGGTTTTCAATGGCTGATTTTTTGGAAATAGACTGCCAGGGCTTTCTTCCCAGGTGCCTTTGGGTGGATTTGAACCTCCAGCCTTTTGGTTATCAGCCAAGCACGTTAACCGCTTGTACCACCCAGGGACTCCGTCATGTGTGAGCAGATGTTTTAAACTAAGTCCAAGAAGCAAGCTATTTTGCACTTCATTCTCATCATTAAATTTTTTTCCTTTTTTTTTAATTGATGTAATTAAATGAAGTTTACATTTCAAGTTAGTCTCCCATACAGAATCTTTTTTTTTAACATACACTGATATGAGAGACCAACCACTCACCCCATTCTGTGACAGCACACTCCTCCCCTCCGCCCCTGATTCCCATGAACATTCAACAAGCTCCTAACTCTCTGCCTTCCCCTCTAACCTCTGGACAGAAGCCGCCC